GACCAAAAGACCATTTTTCCCTAACCGAGTGGGTCAAATCAGGGCTTCTCAGTCTTCCAAGTTAAAGGGAGGAAAAAAGCAAATAATGATAGTCTAGGTCCTAAACTCCTAATATTACTCACCCAGAGACGTAAAGTTAAAGTCCGAGTAAAGGTTCTGCTCACCTCTGAGGCTGAGGGGATGGGGAACTATTGGGACCCTGAGAGTGGGCAGCGAGGGCGGCCCCTGGCGTCGGCTGGTGGAGAGGAGGCCCAAAGATTCTCCTAGTTACCAATTGCTTAGATAAATATCAGTGGTAGTATAAGAAGAGGATGGACCAAAAAGTGATTTTCAAGAAAGAATGACAAAATCAAGGAGGCCATGTGGTCCAGTGGTCTGACCGAGACAAACAGATGTGCTGTAAGAGATTGAAAGAAAAGAGATGGCTAAATAAAAATGACTGACTCACCATCTTAAAATGGTTATAAATGTAATTAATTCCCTAATTTGGGGCTTCTTACCCTACCCTCAACAAATAAAGAGCCTGTGGGCTTGTTAATTTCTTTATTACGTAAATTTTAACTTTAGGACTTAAAATAGATGCCATAATTGGAATTCAGCTGTTCTTTTAGACTTAGCTGATAATTATGCCATATTGTGTCAAGCTTTATCAATAAGTTTAAGTCCTTCTTGTTTGAAAAAAAATAGGCTTTGTAATAGACTGTAATTTTATGGGGAGGGTAAGACATTCCACTTTTTGGCCAGCTGGGTGAGCTTCCTTTAGCCCCAAAAGGACATACTTCTTGTGAAGTGTGCATCTCTGCATCTCTAACAAAACCTCTCCAGCCACAGGCACATAAAATCAAAGTCCTGGCCAAATTGGAAGGCTTGTACTAGACTAGAGAGGAGGTCCTGGAAGCCCATGTTTTAATTCAAAGACCAACAAAACCATTCATTTTCACCATATTTTAGAGAGGCATATCTAGTACACACAACACCACCCCCATCTCCTACTTAGCCCCAACCCTCCCCCCCCCAAAAAAGCATTATAATAGTTGTGAGGAAGAATAAAACTTTTCTCTCCTTCTAGCTTTATTGGCTTCTCGGGCTCAGAAACTTTAATTCTCTCTGGAAAATCATTAGTACCCAAAGTCCTGCAGGCCACTCTCTTCTAGGCAGAAGAGTGTGTGTAAGCAACCTCTACCCCCAGGGATCTTCCTATTCAGCATATTTCACATAGCAGAAAAGAATAAGAGCTCTGGATTAAGGAATGAGAGTGGAGAAAGTGATCGTAATAAAGAGGGGCGTGCAGAAAGGGAAAAGGAGCGCTTAAATAAGAGAGTGCCTCAGAGAATAGCTCTGGGGCACCATCCCTGAGGAGAATTAGGGAGCTGAAGTGGCATTCCTCTTTCTAAGACTTGTCTATGATCAAGAAAAGGTTCAAATGCATCTTCCTCTTAACAAACACGCTTGCCTCGTCGAAGTGTTGCTCTAGTAAGAAGCTACTTTTTAAAAATATGCATACATAATTATAAATTCACATAAAAAATGTATGCCTGCAGAGATCCATGGGGTCAAGTGCCATACTTAAGTTTTCCATGCAAGTGGTACACTTAAATTTTACGTGCATTTCCACGGGATAATACTCAACCCCCAAGTCGTGTGTCTTCCACACCTGGCTTTCATGGCACAAGAGTTGCCTAGTCAGATAAAGCTTGGAAGCCTCTGAAGACCTGTTTAAAAAATAAGAGGAAGAACAATTCCAGACTCTTCAGGGAAAGAACCAGTCACCCAAAAATTATACAGGATAAGAACTCAAGGTGCAGTTGTCAACAGAACGATGTCATCAATTGGCCGGGCTGAATTTCTCTAGTTAGAAGGTGGGCTTTCTAAGCATATTATCAATAAAAACGAAGGTAATACCAGATGGGCTTGTAACACGGGAGAGGAGGGTGGGGTAGATGGATGCCCCCCGCCCAGCCCCAGCTAGCCAGAAAGGCAGAAAAAGGGGAGGACTGGGCAAAAGATAGGCTCACTAACGATTTTTCCCCCTCAAACTGGGTACTCCATCAATCCATTGCTTTCTAAAAAAATTACCTGGAACATGAACATCGGTTACCTTTATGGGAAAATAGAACCATTTCTGGAAACTCATGTCTCTATAAATCAGTTTACTAGAGGATGTCCTGACCAATTGAAGCTTAGAATTGAGGAAAATCTGGGTGTCGAGGTGTATGAGGAAAGGGCAGTGAAAGAAAGGAGGGAGAAAACTCTCTGGAACAAAGTTTTTGCCTGCCTCTAAGGGAGTTTGAATTAATATTATTGTACTTTCTCAGAGTGCAGACCATTGTGCTTTGTGTGAGAGTTATTTTCCTATGCTTTGGTTTAAAAAATAAAAATGAGAGGACAGGAAAAGATCCTCGATGCGCCAACCTGAGGGGATAGCCAAGGGGAAAGGGCGGTGAGTTTTCTCTGCACAGCCTGACATTCCATTGAACATCCAGAGCAGAGCTCAGAGTTTGAAAGAAACAGAAGCTGGAGTTGAAAAAGGACAAAGAGCTCTAACTAGCTTCCTCCTAAAGGTTCAGTTAAATTTGTATGCCGAGCCTGTTCAATGTGCCCTCAGCTGTTAGAGAAGCTCCCGCCTCCCATCTTTCACCCCCAAATTCCCCAGAGAGTCAAAGATCCGAGATCCCGTTAGCCTTGGTTGGTTCGCTGTCCCTCCTTAGGGAGGAGAGCAATTGAGTTCGTTTCTTAGTCTGGGTCTCAGGGAAATCAAGACAAGAATTTGAGTTTGAATTCAACTAGCAAGGGGAGGCTTGCACCTGGGAGAAAAGATTAGGTTGGAGAAAGAACAACTGCACATTCGCAAAACACTTTCCTTTTATCCGCCCTTCTTTGCCTAGCGATGGTGGGTCCATTGGTTAAAATCTTGCAATTCAACACAGATGCTCCGACCTCTTCACTTCAGAGAACGCTAGCTCAGTTAGTTTCTGGTTCTGATTGCCCTAACGCTTTGGAAATGAAGGAAATAGATAGACTTACCTTTTCAAGAAATCCGGGAAATGGGACATTTCAGTTTTCTACTTTAAAAAAAAATTATCCATCCATCCTCTCATTCTAATTAATATATGTGCAAAGAAACATCAAAGAAGAAATCTCCTTAAACTATCTCCAAGATGCGCATTCTTTATTTATTTTTATTTTCGTATCCTAACACAGCTTTTTTTTTTTTTAAGGAAAAACAAAAAAGCAAAGGTAGGAAGTAATAACCTGAAAGATAACCCGCCATTTAGCTTTCTCCAATTCAGAATCTCTGAAATAATAATGCCTGGTCTGCATTCTTATTCCAGTAAACAGGTGGTCATTTGAAATTTGCAGTGACATTATTTGATTATCACTAACTTACACTCTTTCGCTCTTCACGGCAGTGACATGGTATTGTATCTCATCCATTCACTCAGAAAAACAAGAAAGGAAGAAGATGGTCTGAATAGTTACACAGGCTTCTGTATCTGTAGCTTTATTTGGTGAAAGTTACTGCTGGGTAGACTCTACCAGACTGTGTCATAACTTATTTATGCCCCAGTCAGATCATGGCAAATAAGTCTTGTATTATTTATCTCAAAAACTTCTGGGCTGGAAATATTATTCTACAGCTAAGCCACTCGTCATCCTTCCATACCCTATCCTTTGGTGGGAGGGAAGGGAAATGGTGGGGAAGAGGAGTAAGACTTTAAAAAGAATCCAAATGTTGTTTGTATATTAGAATTGACCAAAAAACTAAACTATTTGTAATGTTTTTCAGCTCCTCAGAAGCACTTTCTCAATACATTTCCCTAGCAATCAGTATGGATTTGTGAAAAGGCAAAGTTGTTAGCTTTTGAAAAGTAATATATAATGCCATAAATCCATAATGATGTCTAATGTCATAAAAGTTGCTTAAACTCTCTACAAGACAGAAACTTGACCAAGATTATCAACTGCGAAAGTCCAAGTGCTTTTGGTCTCTGGAATCCTCTTCTGTCTCTGTTCAGGCAAAACTGAAAAACTCTTCTGCTATTTTGATAATTATAAATCTCTAATTGGGATAATTCAGGGTTTTTGAGAATTTAAAAAAAATCTTTTCTTAATTCTCAATGTAATCAGCTTAAAGACCTGCTTACTTAGCATGAGAATATACACAGGCTTTAAGTTTGAAACTTGTGGGATCCCCAGTTGACTAGTAAGTTTAGATTCCAAACCAGTCACCCTTCCCTTATTTTTCTCCACTCTGCCTATTATTACATGTTGGCATTTTAGTATTTCTCCTGACACAAAAAGAAGACAAAATTATATTCGTTTACATGGTTTATTGTTGTAAACATTAAAATTGTCTTTCTCAAAGAAAGAATTTTTCAAGAAAAAAAATTCAGCGTCTCTAACTGTCATACACCATAGAAAAAAGGCAGTGACTTGTATCATGTGCCATACTGGAAATATACAAAGAAAAATACTACAGAATATGGCAATATTAAAAATCTTACTCAAACATAAAATAATATATTAACTGACAATTTTAGACATTAAAAAAAAACACAAAAAAAATTCAAAGTGCTCAGTAATTTCCAGGGAGTTATGTATATTATAAGCACTCTGGAAACAGTCAAAAGCTGCTGCATGCAAATTTTGTTTAGCTTTAGACAACAAAATAATCAAGATATAAACTTTCTTTTATCAACATCAACAGTACATACAACACTTACAAACAAGGAATGTTGGACAGTGTTACAAACACTATGTGTCCCTTTGTCAGGATTTTCAGTTTTGTAATACTTGTGCCCACCTATTTTACAATTGAGAAAATGTTTAAGCTCAGATAACTACCAATCTTTATAAAATCTAACAGACTACATAGTGTCTGAAATACTATTTATATAATATAGACATTACTGAAATAGCAAGTGCCTATAACATTTTCGACCTAGAATCAACATGCTGTCCCTTTTTGTGTAGTAATTTATTCCTTTTTTGCAAACACATTTATCTTTTAGAATTTTTTAATATTTATTCATAAATAGGCACAAAATAATTTAAAAAGCCAAACTGCATTGGATAAATTTACAAGCCTTTGCCTTCTTTAATTCATGCCACCCACGCAACATTAAGTTTTACTATATATTACAGCTTTCTTTTACAGCAGAAAACTTTGTCTTTAAAAGGGCGATACTTTGTGGGTCACCTTAATACTTTTGTGTGTGTATTCAATCTGTCTTAGCTGCAGCACCCGGCGTGATCAGACATTTTTCGTCTTACAATAGAAGTCCTTCTTCTGAATCACAAATTCTTTTTTTTAAGCCGATAATAAAAAGTTTATACCACTGTATTGTGTGTAGTCCATATTCTAAATCCAGGATGCCCCAGAGCCAAAATGCCCTTTCACGTTCTGCCTGCAGGTTAGGAAATAGCAACAGTTTTGTTTTGGGTGGGGGAGATGTAGGGGCAGGAGGTTGAGAGATGGGTTAGGAAATTGGGAAGGGGGGGATGGAGCAGAGGCACCCAGAGGTGCTTTTGTGCACGTGGGAATTCCCACCCTCAGACAGTTCACGTTCCTTTCCAGTTCATTTGAAGTAAGCTGGAGAAAGTCTTAAAAAGGTAATGTGTCCAGGAAAAGTTTGTCGATTATTGCTGGAGGTGGTACCAAGTCTTCCAGTTTCAGGTAGAAAATGCGCTGTAGCCCCTGTGTACACAGGGTGCGAAGTTCTGGGAGCTTCCCCAACAGTTTGGACAAATAGTTGGGGCGGTTCAAACCCCCATTATTGAAAGTCACGTGGTCTTTGAGACAATTTACAATCTTGCTCTGCAGTTCTTCCACTCTCTTGGGTTCCTTGAGTCCGTGTCTCTCTGGGGTGGGGGTGGGGGGGAATGGAGTAACAAGAATGCAAAAAAGGCAGTTAGCGATTTGACAAGATTAGAAATACCCCCCTATCCCCCACCTCCGGTAAAGGGAAATCCAGTAAGAGTACCCAGAGCAGGACTGAAGATGGGAAAGTGCTAAGAGGACTGACCTGTAACCATCGCCAGGGCAGCAATGCACGAGAAGGCAGAAATGTCAATGTTCATATTCTGCAAGTTGGAGGAGAATTCAACAATGGAATCAATCCATTCCCCAAAGCCACGAACGCATTGCAACCTGTGCAAGACCACCCCATTGCAAAAGATGAGTTTACCCTCCACTGGGTTGGACCTGCAATTAATACCAAAGAGAGAGAAAAGGAAAAAAAAAAAAAAGAAAAGAAAAGAAAAGCTAAACAACTAATTACTTGAAGAGCAATAAATGGGGGATTTAAAAGGCACCTAATTACCGAGGAGTTAATAAAATGTAGATCAGTGGACCTTGAAAGGGTTTGATTTCATAACAATCAAGAACGCCCCCTACCCCATCTCCACCCCACTCTTCCTTCTTTTCTTTTTCTTTCTTTTCTTAATTTTTTTCTTCCTTTTGTTTCTCCCTTGTTCTTTCCTACAATAAATTCCCATTCTTGTTCTTTTGTTTCCTTCTTTCATTCTTCTTCCCTATCTTTCCTTTCCCTGTTTTCTCCTCTTTCCTCTCTTCCTTGTTTTCTTCATCTCTTTTCCGTCTTGCCTTTCTTCCCTTCCTTCCTCATTACCTGTATGCTAATCGCAGGACAAACAGTTCCAAGAAAGCAGATTCGAAAAGTAGATCTTGGTCTGGTTTGGGAAGATCAGTGAAGCCTGGAATCTTTTCTGCCCATCCTCTGATGATCTCCATGGAGCCGGTCAAGAGATCATAGAACTGCTGAATATGCTGAGTGTCATCTCCACTCATCTGATAGTCAGGGTTAGCCTGGAACTGGAATTTCATTTTAAAAAGCACTTAATGAGGTTCTCTAAAATATATAACCCGTGAAATTGCTAACCCCGTTTCTAGTAGGGGAGCCAGGTTTTTATAACAATTAAACCTCTCTCTGACCAGTAAGGAAATTAGATGTTCCAGGGCAATTAATTCAATTAGGGATGGTGCTATGAGGTCGCTGCTTTAAATATGTAAATTGCCATTTCTCTACAGACTAAATACAGTGCCATCCAGCATGGGGAAATGTTGACTCTTATCTCCACAAAACAATTGACACGTTAGTATTCATGCCAGTCCCGGAGTTAGTCTCATGAAAAGCCACCGTTTGCAGATCCTTTAATAAAAATTTTTCAGAAGCCTATATGCTTCATCATATACTTCTACCAATTAAAGCGGGTATATTTCTCACAGCTGGAATAAAATAAATGATTCTGGCTACTTATCCCCACCCCCAACCCCCATTTCTCCTTTCCCTTCCCTCCTCCCTCCAACCACATGCCCTTTATGATCCTTCTAGTATTTCACAACCGATGTTGGGATTATTTTTTACGGTCACCCACATCGCAATTGGCATGGTAATCGAACCAGATGCATGTTTAATACAACTCAGCTAGAAAAATATTGGATAAAGAGTGTTGGGGGTGGGAGGGAAGAAAACATTTTACACAAGTGAGGCTTTTTACAAACTTTTTGAAAAGAATGGGTCAGTTCAGCCCTGCAAATTCGAGCAAGGCTGTGTGTGTGTACTTGTGTGTGTGTGTGTGTTCCTGCGAGCCAGCGCCCTTCTTACTAGGAAGAATAGAGAGTGAAAAGATTCGGTCAATATCATTTGTTCTCTGTGAATACTTATCTCCACCTTTCTGTCTTTCCTTGGTTTCTTACTCTCTTTACCTAGTCTTTGACTTGGCCTGTACATACATTTTCGCCTTTCCAACTCCTTTCCTACGTGTTTGCAGCTGTTTTTCTTCTCTGTGGGCTCATGTGGTGGGGATGGGGTGTGTGTGAACAACCCTACCAGTCTGTATATTAATATTATCTCCAGCTTACCCTGGAATAGTCCAGGCTGGTCATAGCCGGGTTGGAGTCGACATGGGCTCTCACCAGGGCACTGATCAGACTCACCGGGGGAGAGGGGGGAGAGGGCTCCTGGGGACTCTTCGGTTTCGACGGTAAACGACCTCTCCGACCTTTTAAACTGTCTGTACGAACCACTGAAAGGGAAAAAGACCTTCACATTTTCTAACCTTTCCTCCCCCTGATGCCCAGTCCCCAATTGCCCAGCACCGTACCCCTCCCCTCAACAAGAGAGGCAAGTTCAAGAAGGGAGTCGGGTAACACGTGTAGACACCCGGAATTTGTAAAGTATTCTACAGTGGAGAAGCATATAAATATGGGTTCATTTTATTTCTTCCTTCAAATGGGTCATAATAGTTAAATCAAGGAAATTTTGACGCCTCTCTGAGAGAGATCAACATCCCGCCTAGAATACAAAGCCCTTGGGGGCTTACAGGGCATGTGGAAGTTGGGTGGGAAGGAAGGGACTTGGGAAAGAGAATGAGAGGAGGAAGGAAAGGTGGAAGGATATGAGCTTTCAGGGAGGAGAGGCAGGAAGATACTTCCTGAGTCCTACCTTCTTTAACCATCCCAACAGCAAGGCACTTCTGAAATCGGCAATACTGACAGCGATTTCGGCGCCGCTTGTCAACAGGGCAGTTTTTGTTTGCTAAACAAACGTATTTCGCATTTTTCTGGACTGTGCGCTGCAGAGAGAGAGACAGACAGACAGACAGACAGATAGACAGACATTATAGACTGAGAACTAATTTCGTTTATAAATCCAGCAATCTAAAGAATCAAAAAAGCATCTCCGAACTGCTGGGACGTTCTCCCTCCCCTTTTCCCCCTTTTTCTTTTCTTTTCTTTTCTTTCTTTCCCCTTTTTTTTCCCAGGGCATTTAACAGAAGAAAATTAATAGCGTTAACATTTGAGCTAACCTTGCAGCTCCTTGCTGTGTTTTATATGCCAAGAGAAGGAGAAGGAGACGCTCAGTAAATACAAATCCGTGGGCATTCATATTATTTACATTCCTTGGAGACCTTCTCTATTTAAAATGATAAGATTATTCAATCAGGATGGTGAAATAAAGAGATCACTTAATTTTACCACAGGGAATTCTGTTCCACTTGGTTAGCTTAGACACGGTTCTCTGTCCTAACCAATTTCAATCTGAAGGAGGAAGGCAGCTCCTATCACATGCAAATGTCCCTTTTCCAACTCAGCCTCTTGCAACTTCTGCCCAACGACCTGTAAGCCATTTCAAGGCCAGGGCCTTGTCTTGCAAGCAGTCCTAGCTCCCTTTCCGAGTAGTGCCCCTGCTAGCGTCAGCTCCTGAAAAGCAATTCTCCATTCCCCACACCGAACCCCAGCACCCCAAGGAAATTCCTGTGGGGATCATGAGTGCAGTTTCCCGCCTAAGTAAGCAGTTGATGGAGGGGGAACCTAATTTTCCCTTCTTCCCACAACGCAATGCTAAAGACTGAAGTTTAAGCCTATCCACCCCAACTCACCTTAAAGAAACCTTTGCAACCCTCGCAAGTGCGCACGCCGTAGTGCTGGCAAGCTGCGTTGTCCCCACAAACAGCACACAGCCCTTCGTTGGACGGGGATCCCCGGGAAGGAGGAGACGGCACCTGTGTGTCCAGCAGCTGCGAGGCGTGACCGATCTGCAACCCTGGGAAACCCATGGCCGCTTGCTTGCGGATGGGATTAGGCACAGCGAAGGTCTGCCCGTCCACCACATGGTGGGTACCTGCCGGCTCCGGGTTCATGGGCACGTGGAGGGGCCCGTCAAAGCGCATCTGGCAGCTGGATACTGGGGTACCCGGGGGCGATTGCTTAAAGGAGAAGAGAGAGAGGCGAGACACCGGCGTTTTCCTCTGCTCTATCATGTGGGTGGTGGCCACGTAGTTCTGGTGGAAGTTATGGAGAGAGCCTGGGTCATCCCACATTGGGCTGTGCTGCACCTGGAAGCCGGGAGTAGAGGGCGTCGGGGGCGACGAGGGCTTGTAATAAACGGAGCCTGAGTGCGGCATCATCTCCTCGGACTGTGGGGGCAGGTGGTTGTGTTGCTGGTAGCTGTGCATCTGAATGTCTTCCACTTTAATGGAGGACTGCTGTCCGGAGAGGGGCATTTGATACAAGCAAGGTGGCTTGACGTCGTAGCCTGTGCTGTAGTTGTCCATAAAGGTACTGAAGCTGGGGAGAGAAGTGGTGGCAGTGATTTCAGTGTTGGTGAGGTCCATGCTAAACTTGACAAACTCTGGAGTTAAGAAATCGGAGCTGTATTCTCCCGAAGAGTGGTAACTGTAGCTCTGGGAAGCTGGGCTGGCTCCTTGAGGCGATGACCCATACTGAGCCTGAACACAGGGCATGGCTGGAAACGAAACAGGGTGATATACACTCAGCCTGGTCAAGTGAACACTTTCTCTCCTGCTTTTGTACACCTTTTGCGCACCTGGATCAACCATACGGCGGTTCCGTATTAAGTAAGCTGTACACAGCACTGCAATTTAGGAGAGGGAAAGGGAGAGTAAAGAGGGGAAAGACAATCCGTGTTGCAGGCGCTGACCTTCAAAAAAAGGGGGGGATCTAAAAGAAGAAAGGTAGGATATAAAGGATAGTGAAACACCCCTACTTCCTTTTCAACCCCACCCACTCACCCAACAGTCTCTATTTTAATATGTGTTCAGGTAGCTTGTTCAGGAGCAACCTGAGGAAGTTGGGATTTGCCAGGTGATAAGTTATTCTGAAGGCGGCATTCGGGTAATAGGACTGGCTTGCTGAATGCAATGACTTTGCTTTGGGGGGGGGGGGTCTTGAAGGACTTTTAAAGAGAGAAGAATGTAAAACTGAAAAGCAAATTCACTAACCTTCAGCCGAGTTACAGGAGTTTTCGAGGAAATTAAAGGTGGACAGTGTCGTAATTCAATGGAGGACAAAGTTTCCAAGATATTAGAAAATAAGTGAATAGTCCAGTCTGTCCAGCCTGTTCCCTGAAATACAGATATGATATGTTCAGGTTACTGTGGAGGGATTTATTGGACACAAGCAACTACACCAACCTGCATATTTCACTGAAATACATAGTATGGCCTTTAAATAAATAAAACACATGACATATGAAAGTATAAGAGATATAATTAAAATGTTTCCCCCACAACAATCTGGCATATAGTTAGTTGTACAAAGGTTTTTCTTTTTCTTTTATGAAGGAAAAAAAAAACTTACGGCAAGTTGTCTTAACACTTACAATGTCATGAATTGACACCACCACCACCAACACCACCCCTTGTTCTAGGTAAAAGAGAATGGGTTGTCTCTGTCATAATTTTAATCAGACACTGGGTGAAATGAAGACCAGAGTTTTGCAAAAAGGTCATTTTGGAACCTTCAAGTGAAAGGTTTTCAGTAGGCAAATTTAAATGTAATAAAAAGTTAACCAAAGAAAAAGAATATAAAAATATGAAAAACCATTCTGACCTCCTACTCTCCACCTCTTCTTCAAAGTTACGAAGTATGCTTCAGGCCTACATTGTGAGAATGCAATTGGAAAAGGGCTAATAATCCCTCTACATATATGAAAATGACTAATCTTCTGTTTGAAGACATAGGTTACTTCCTTTTCACATTTCTAAGAAACTTCTTGGGCATATTTTGGAATGTACATTTATGTGAGGAAAGCCTATTTTTACAGAAAGAATGCAGGCAAAGAGCAACACAGTAAAGACAGTCCTTGACTCATTTGGATGCACTTAAACATATGGCAAGATGACCCCTTTAGTACTACCAGCTTAAGTTGTTTCTCTCTTTAATAAAACAAGACATAACAGTCCTGGTAACTTTCAGACATTCCCATTTTTAAGGCATCTGAGAGTACAAGTATGTCAATAAAAAAAAAAAAAGCTAGATATCCTTTCCTGTTCAGTTTTAGCTATCTTGCTTTTGACTTCATATTTCACAACTGGAAGGCCAAGACACTAGATTCCAGGAGGGGGAGTGCAATTACCTCCACCAAAAGGTAATATAACTATCTTTGTTAACACCAGGTTTGCAGATTAATTCAGGAAGTGATCTTAATCTCTCTATCCCTCTTCTTCCCTTCTTCTCTTGCTCTCCATTCTATCCTTCTCTCCTCCCTTCCTTCCCCTCTCACTAATGAGCCACATATGTCAGAACACAGAAATTTGGGGAAACTAAGAGGATACTGTACTAACAGCACCCATTCTGAAACAGCAGCCTTCAAAACACCAGCACGTTTGCTAACCATGGTGATACAGTTCCCAAGCAACACATAAACTTAAGTTTTCCTCCTGTCACTTATCCCTGAGCGTTCAAGCCTTACTATACACACGACCTTTGAGATTCAGTGTCCAAATGACCAATTCACATCTGCTCTAAGGAAAAACGATATGGAGGAACACTGAGTAGAAATTTCAAAGTCGAAGTTGGGAAGACAGCAGCTGCCAAGACTGTAAAAAGTATTCCTTCCGCGTTTCCCAATTAGCAGACTAGAAGCCTCTACCGAGAATGTACTGTTCCTAGCCCTAGACATTTAGTTAGGAAAAACGCCTTCTGGAGCAATTCACAAAACTTCCCTTTCATCACCCTTCCGGACCCCCTTTCCCTTCTTCACTCCTTTCTCCGAACGCACAATTCACAGACCCCATACCCATATCCACAGGAGAGAGTGAGAAAGAGAGAGAGAGAGAGAGAGAGAGAGAGAGAGAGAGAGAGAGAGAGAGACTTACTTAATGGTTCTCCACGTCTCTTTTCATTCATTCAACTGTCTTGAAGTGCAGTTTCCTTTAGGAGGTGGGGTGGCGGGGGGATAGGGGAGGGGATGGGTTAGATCGGTGAAAAGGGAAAAAAAAAAAAAAAACAATCGGTCCAGAGAAGTTGCTAGTTACAAGCGCTGCTGGGGAAGTGCGGTACTCATGTAGCAGAGTGAGAGCAGCCGGACAGACTGGCCCTTCCCTCCAATGTGCCTTTGTTTATGTGGGCTCCGTATTCCACAGCCAACATGCACCTAGTCTCCAAGCGTCAGCACACGTCAGTGCAGGCGGCCCAATCCCAGCTCCTTAGGGCTGTTTCTCCCCATACAGTTGGCCAGCTCTCGCTTTGGTAAATTTCCGACCTGACGTCACAAGCAGGGCAGATTTTAAGGTGGGAACCGTTCTGGGTTCACCTTGTTAGCCGAGTTGGGCTTTTTTTCTTTTCATTTCTTCCTTTTCTTTTTTTTTCTTTCCGAAATAGGTGAAACCTACTCACTCTTGCCCGTAAAGCCAGTAAAGCTCACTTTGCCCCATCTTCTCCAAAACTCTCCAATTCACAGATAGTTTTGGCAGCCCAGAAGTGTAAGAGTACCAACAAAAGCGAAAACGGGATATAAGGGTGGGCGAGATTAAGAAAGGGAGTGAAAGGATGGCTGAGAGGGGTTGAATGTGCCAGGTAACACGCACCTGTAGGCGCACAGAATTGGGCGATACTTACTTTCATTGTTCTAACTCCCCTCTCCCCGCACCCTACCCCCGCCCGCTCTACACCCCAATCTCATCCCCAGGCGCTGAATCGTGCATTGAAGCCTATTGCACCCGACTGCTAAATCGGGGTTTCCCTTTTCTCAGTGCTTCCCTTCCCCCTCCCATATTTTCCACTCTTGCAGAAAAAAAAAGCCGTTACATTTTGTGTGATGCCCTCTTCCCTCATACCCACGTGTAGGAGGGAGGACGTGGTGACTGTGGTATGGAAGAGAGGGTTGGGATAAAGGAGACAAGATGGCACTGGACCAAATCTCCTCTTATAAAACTAGAATCTCTAAGAAATATCGGTCCCCCTCTCCTGACAATGCAGCAGAGTTTCATGCAACAGGTGTGCATTCCCCAGAGAAAGGTGATTTTATTTCCACCTCGGGTCAATTCTTTTCAACTTCAAAGTAGCACTCTCCCCAAGTATTTTTTTTAACTACATTTCTCTAGATACATATAAGCCCAAGTAAACACTGCATTGCTCCTGAACTGAGTGGTATGGAAAATGACACCCCTCCTCCCCCCCGCAAAAAAAAAATCGAGTTAACACACAATTTTCCTCAGAAAACCTTGGTGTAATCAACATGAGTCCCGAGAGTATGCATGTCAGTGTGCGTTGGGTTCGGCGCGTTACTGCTCCTAAAGCAACACCAGAAAGCTGTCACAGCCTGAGCTCTACTTTGCATGCTAATCTGTTGGACTGGTGCTGAGGATAGAGCACCTTGCACCAGTGAGGGGGGAAGGACACAGAATGCTTTCTAGTAAAGGAAATGCTGGCGTTTTCAAGAGAAGAGAAGCACAGCGGTTCGGGTCCCAAAGCCCACTGAGGTCTACTTGTTGAAGAAGTCTGTCCCAAACTGGAATGGGATCCCTAACCTAAAACATTTAGCGCGGGCTTTGAATCAGCTGCGAATAAAATTTGGAAGTATCTGTATAATCTCTATCCACTCTTCCTTCTGAACGACTGCTTTCAACTCTCATTCCTTTTCTCTAGCAGCAAGGTTTCGGGCATGCTACCGTAACCCATTTGTATCCTCCCCATTCCTACGTGTTATTTGTATTTTCATTATTAGAAAAAGGCACAGTCAAGATTAACCCAGTGTCGCCTCCCTCAGCCCTAAACTGCACCCCAGCCTTCACCTTTTCACCCTACCCTCCCCGCCCTCTCCGAGGCTGTGAGCTTCTGTCCCAAGCACTGCGTGCAGGCTGGGAAAGCCGCTGGTACTGCTACCCCGCCGCCCAGGGGAAACCTACGTGACCACCTTAAGTTTCCCCAGATGCGGTGGCGGCTGCTGCTGCCGCTGCCGCCGCCGCCGCTGCAGCATCGCGGTGCCCTAGCAGGCGCGAGAAAAAATAAGGCAGGGAGAAGTGAGGGGGAGCGAGGGGAGCAGTGGCGGCTGTAGGGAGGGGGAGGGGGAGAAGGGTAGAACGGGGAATAATAGCTCATTAGCATGAGCTCAGTAGCGTCAGCCACCCCGTGGGCTGGAGAGATTCAATGCGAACGAAAGGGAAAAAGTGAGAGTTTGGAAGGGAGGGAGATGGGAGGGGGGAGGGGGTGGCCGTGACGCAGGGGCGCAGTCATTGACGCACCGAGCCGGGCGCGGCCAAAAATAGCAGCCGCAGCCGAGCCAGCGGCGTGCTCCCCAGCTCCCTTTCCCCTGGTGCAAGGGGGGCAGGGCGGGGTGAGGAGGGGAACTCTCATTGATCCCGACTGTGGGCAGGGCTAACACCAGCTATTTTAAGGCCATCGGAAACTAGCGCGGCCACGTTGCAGACTTGGTGGCAAATTTTTTTTTTAATCCAGCCCTAGAAAAGCGGGGACTGGGAGTACTTTAAGGTTGCAGTCACACACCACTCAGACATGCATATCCAAACAGATAGCTTAGTTTCCTCCATTAGCATTACAAAATACACTACGGGATGTTAAGAACCTTAACCATAGCTTCCTCTACTCCAAGTGAGTGAAAGTCTTCGGTTAGGGAAATGAATTTCATAGTAAGAGTCTGAAAGTTGCATGGAGTCCCGTAAGTCACAGTCCAAGAAAGTTAAACATAACAGTAGTATCCAAAATTATTAAACTTCATCCTGTGGTTTCTGACTTCTTGATGACTGAACCTTTGACCGAGTTAAGCAAATTTTCACAGTATCCTTTACGATGATGGTGATTTTTAAAAGGAAGTAGGGAGCAGTTTTTCTTCTATTCTTAACTTAGTTTTAGTTACTGTCTTCAAATCTCTGGATTTTCCTGTAGGTCGAGGTATTCATTAAAAGCACAACTTAAGAAAGCTGGAGTAAGGTTAACAAACGTTTATTACATAAACTCATTATTAGTCAGGCTGGTTGGCCTATAGTGTGGCTCTATAGTGGTCACAAAGGAAATATTCCACCAGACTCTTTCAGACTGCAAACAGAGCTGGAGCTGGAACTGGAGCTGAAAGCCAACAAACTTAAATCTTTTCCTCAGCACAGATAATTTGAGTATTGAACTGATAGGGAAAGTCCAATCAGTACCGACAATCTCTGTAATTGACTGATTCTGTCAGTAGGGGGCCTGAAGCCACAAACTTTTTTTTTCTTTTAAAGCATTAAAAGCTACATAAAATTCAAGGGTTCACACCAGGTCCAAACACATAACTTCTGTGCTGCTCAAAAACTGAAATTCATAAACACCTACACATATTAGCGTCCTCTACTTTTAGAGAGGGAGCAGAGTCTGATACACATTGAATTGGATTTACAATGCATTTCCCCATCATGCTCATGTTTAGTTCACCATGTATTTGGTAAATGCTAGCTAGTAATAAACTCATTTTATCACCAAGCAGTTCCAATTGGCATATAGTTTGGAAAAATGAAAGCATGTTTTAAAATCCTATGATTACATGTTTAAATAAATTACAGTTTAGAAGAGGATTCCTGTGGGTGTATTTGCTGGTACATAAGAATGCTTTTGTGTGCAGAGGTTTAATTACACATATATAATGGAGTCAAAATGCAGGATTGAACAACCTTTTAGAAAATGTTAAAACGATGCTTTAGGCTAAATGGAACTGAACTTCTGCATTTAAATGACTGCAGCCCTTCATGACTGTTAAACATAAACATCAGAAAGTATTCTGACTCAATTAAAAATGACAATTTTGAGATTTTGAGTCCAGCATCAGACTTACCTTTAAACTGACACATGAAAACGAGAAATTCATCAAATCATTTTCAATATCTGTTTAAATATTGCTAAGTCAAAGAATTTCATAGTAAAATAAATGAATGAAAATGGACTGTATGTATATTTAAGTCAACTAGAGACTTCTTTTGAGATTAACTGGAAAAGCATTACAAAATTATCATTACCTTTTCAAGAATACTTTTCAGAAAAAAAATTACAGAAAGGTGACTTTCCTGGATTATCCTCTATATTCCTGACCACATGTTAAAACAGGACATATAGCACATAAATAAAAACTATAAAATTTTATTTTAAAAAGGAAAGAATTGCTATATATCACATATATACTTACAGATAAAATATTTTATTTTATGCAAGTTTAAACACTGAGTTTAATAAAATACACCTTTCTTCAATACAGAAAGTCAATCTGAATTAAATCCTAAAAATTTTTCTTTTTCAATGCAAGCTGATGGAGTCTTTAGGGATTTCTATATGATCCCCAAATACGACATGGGAACTACTACACAAAACACCTTAAAGAAGGGGGGGGGGGCGGAGAGTGTTATTGAAAAATACAACTGTTGTGTCCCAAGAATAAATAAACTTTAAAGCATCTCCCCTAGTTGTCGACTTCAAACTTGATATGTTCTTTAAGTGGATATTGACAACTAGAGATACCAATGGAAATAGTTTTGTCAGAAGTGAGCTTTATGTTTCGAGTAAAGTAAAATGAACTTTCAAACTCTGAACAGGTTTGGTGGGGGTTGGGGAGGGCTGCATTTCTCTTTTAAGATTGCTTTTCTGCTATTTCATCTGAAGACAAGATATAATCCAGGTGTATATTTTGTTCCTCTCCTATACAAATCAACTGCTTGGTTTATTTTCATTCATATTTTTAAAAGTCTAACACACTTTCCAGTGCATTTCTACCTAGAAACTATCCTTTAAAATAAAACAAAGCTTTCTTATTTTGATTTGCAACACAGATAACGTAAAGAGAGAGAGGCTGTGCTGGAGAAAACACTTTTCTTCTAGATGTATCCATTTTAAAAACTATGAATGTAAAACTGAAAATGTGATGAAAAAAATTTTAATCTTACTTTAAAATACTGTCTGCTAAAAATATACATCTTTTGAGTCACACACATACACATATAAGAGCAAGCATAGAAAAGTAAAATTTAATTGAACAGTTTAACACTTTCAAATTTAGAAAATCTTTTAACCCAAAGAATAGTGACCTTGGTTTCAGATTTCTTTGTTAATAT